TGGGGGACAACCAAATCTGATTGAAGTTTAGGGCTGAGTCAGTTAGGAGAGGCTTCTCTGAGGAGACACTGAGCCTTTGTAAGCACAAGCCAGGAGGATTTTGGGGTGGCCATGAGTTTGGAGGTCTAACAAGAATGACGATGTATTTGCAGATGGCCTCGTGTCTTAATTGGTAAGTATGGATAGGAGAGGTTTTACTGCCTGTTTTGTTCCTTTGGGTCCATTATCTTTTAGGTTTGTTTTAGGTTCCAGTCCTGCATTGGCGCCAGCAGCCTGAACGTTATTGTCCTGTCTACACTGTCAACGCCTAAGAGGAAGACCGTTTTGTTTTGCTTTTTGTTTTTCTTTTTATTCCTCATCAGCACTAGTGGGTGAGGTTTATTGCCAACACCAGTGTTTATTTAATATGATTTTAACATGCCACTGAGTAGCAGGGCTTAGCTAAAGTAGGGAAGTAGGTTTTCAGATATATCATTATTTTTCTAACCCAGCTGGGAAGGCAAGTTGGCACCTACGGTAACTGAGAATTGAGATGTCAGCATGCTTAGGAAATGGTTAGAGCCCGTCTCCAGCACCACCGAGATCTGTCACTGCTCCCCTCTGCCACCCAACTGTGTCCACAGAAACAGTGGTCATAGGCTGAGGACAACGTGACTCTCAGCCAGTGGGCAGTTGGCAGAGTAGAGACACCACGGAGGCCCAGAGAGCAGAAACCCCAATGCAACTGGAAGAGGCGACTCCCACGTGAAGCAGCAAATGAGTGGGGGCCATGCGTCTCAGCCGGCGAGACTAGGACCCAGAGGGGTTGACACCGTATGGGTGTGTGGAGAAGCAGGCACAGGGTGTAAACTGAGTTCTCCTATAGGTCGGGAGACTTCCAGCTTGGCGTGAGGGCTGAGCTCTCACTTTCTCACCCAGGCTGGCAGCGCATGAATGTGGGGCATGATTACAGTTGCGTGGTGGAAGGAAAGGGCCTCTGCACCAGGCTCCTCAGTGTGGGAGGAAAACATGGTGGACACTCGGGCTCCTTTGGCTCAGTTCTGAGCTCCAAAACTTAAGGTAAGGACTTTGTCTTGCGTGTATGGGACAGCGCCCTTGGGTGCTGAGTTAATATTTAACCAAACTTGCAAATAAGGGTTATCTGTTTGTCTCTGGCAAGGACATTGGAGCAAATGGCTTTCTGCACCACTGCCCTCGGTATTAGTGTTTATTCTCTTTGGGCAAAGGGAAGAGATAGAGCCTCCCCTTATCACTGGTCCCTTTTAGTTCTCTGTTGACCTAGGTGGCCAACTTAAAAAAAGAAAGAAAGAAAGAAAGAAAGAGAGAGAGAGAGAGAGAGAGAGAGAGAGAGAGAGAGAGAGAGAAGAAAGAAAAAGAAAGAAAGAAAGAAAGAAAGAAAGAAAAAGAAAGAGAAAGAAAGAAAGAAAGAAAGAAAGAAAGAAAGAAAGAAAGAAAGAAAGAAAGAAAGAAAGAAAGAAAGAAAGAAAGAAGAAAGAAAAAGCAGAACAACCCCAGGGGGTTGTTGCTCTAGACAAATCTTCATCGTGAGCTTGGGAAGCAGCACAGTGCAGAGAAATAGCCTGAGATTTGCAGCCAGGTAGGACTGGATTCAGGTCTGGATTCCTCCACTTACGAATTGTAGTATTTAGGAAAGCACCCTCACCATGTCATGCCTCAGTTTCCCCATCAGTACCACAGAGCTGAACTGTGCTCTTTTGGTCATGAGGACTAAAAGGCAGTGCAGTGACATAGCTGTGCTTGCTGGTTCACTGGGAATCTGGATGTGACCCAGCCCACGGTGGCCTGGAGATGGGGAATCAAAAGGTTTTCAGTTCACGAAGACAGCTTCTAGGTTACAGCTGGGCACACAAAGGAACCTAGTGTCAACCCTTCATCAGCCAGGAAAGGAAACTGCAGCAGAAACGCCCCACACTACAGGGCCCCTGTGGCCACCACGCCTGTACTCAGACCCACACGCCCACCGCAGAAGAGGGCCTCCAGGGCCCTCAGGTATCCTGGACTTATTCTCAGCACCCACCCTCCCTCCACCGGACCTGACAGTAGCCCTCCCAGCTCTAGTCATCTTGTCTTTTGGACTTGACCCTTGCTAGTTCCCAGGTGTGGCCTGGAATCCACTCAAAAGTGACTGATTATATGCCGGTGCATTACTTCTGCTGTCTCGGGGTACACATCCCCCTTTCCAGCAGGGCCAGGAACTCAGTGCTTCTGAAGAATGCTCTCCCCTTCCCCCCTCTTCTCCTGCCTGCTGTATTGGTCCCCAGAGTAGCATTCCCCCACCCTCTCTCTCTCTCTGTCTCTCTCTCTGTCTCTCTCTCTCTGTCTCTCTCTCTCTCTCTCTGTCTCTCTCTCTTTCCCCTTTGTATTTTTTATAGCCTGTAGTCATGGAGAGGAGTCTTTGAGGATTTCTTTTTTGGTGAACATGCTATTTGCCTGCCTCATCCATCAGTAGGCATCATCAGGAAAAAGGATGTCCTTAAAGTGATGTGAAGAAATCAAAAAGGGCCCTCAGCCCCCACTTTAGAGGGCAGAGGGAAAATTCTCAGCCAGCTCCTGACATCAGTGACTGAGCCCACCTCCTCCGGATACTATGGAGTGTCCTGAAACATTCATATCTCCCTGCTCAGAGCCTCAGTTTTCCCTGTTCTGTAAAGTGGGGACAATCATGACTCCGATCTAGGCAGCTGCACCGAGTTGCTGTCTGGACTACAGCAGATACTGATGTGAAGGTGGCTGGTGGGCCCTAGGGAGAGGGCTGATGAAGTGGGTCAATTAAGAACTAGATTTTATTGCCAATTGATTGCAGTCTTCCTCCCTCCCTCCTTCTCTCCTTTCTTTTCTCCCTCCTCCTCCTCTCATCCTCTTTCTCTCCCGTCCTCAGTGCCTGCTATCTGCCTGGGGCAGTGCTGAGTGTTGGGGAAGGGTGTGTGTGTGTGGGGGAACTTAGTCTGACACAGCTTTTGGCCCCCTGGGAGCCTCAGTGTTTAATGATGGGAAGGATAAGGTTGCAGGGCTCCAGGGTCCCAGTGTTTGCCTAGAAACTCAAGAAGAAGCCCCCAGCGTGGGGCAGAGTGACCCCATGGAGGGGTGTGGGTAACTGGAGTCAAAGAAAATAAGCGAGCCAAGGGAGGGAGGGAGGGAAGGGGCTTGCAGGGCAGCCAGAGGGGAAGTCCCAGGCCTGCTGCTGAGAGGAGCTGAATGAGTCAGGTTCCTCCGCAGTGCTGTTCCCTGACTCAGTGGGCAGCTGGGCCCTCTGGGCTCGCCCGGAGGCCGCCCGCCCGGCTGCACCTGGCCCTGCCTGCAGCTGTACTTCCGAGAGTGGCCCACACCAGCAGCCAGCTTACATCACTGTCTCTACCCTTCACTTAGGGAGAACTTGAGTTTCAAGGATAGCACTGTGCCTGCATTAGGGATGGTTTGGGAAAACCAAGGATGAGAGACGCTGGAAGACATCCTTGCACATACACAGAGGCTTGGTGCGTACTTTTCACTTCCAAGATGAATGGACTGCCTGCAAGCTGCCTGAGGTTTCTGCCCTGGAGAAAGTGTTACCAAATTCATTCCTGGGATGCAAGGGAGGAATGTGTGCCCTTTAACTGAATCTATATCTTCTCCCAATCACACCATCAAGGGATCTCAGCACTGGGAGGATCTCAAAGAGCATCTAGGTCAGTGGTTGCCACACAGACAGGTTGTTACCTGGGAAGCTTTTAAAAATACACATTGCCGGGCCCTGAGCCCAGACGTTCTGACTCAGTAGGTCTGGGTCTGGCCTGTGTCTGGTGGTTGATTCCGCAGGTCCCACGCTCAGAGGGGTGGTCCCCTGGGGCCGCGAGGCCTGGAGAGCACTTCCCTTGCTTGTGCTTGGCAACCAGCCTTTTCTTGTGGATTTATCGTTCTCATTAAGGGAATGGCTCTCAAAACCCGCTGAGAGGACCAACACTATTGTGCTCCGGAACACAGAGCCAACCGGCCAGGAGAGGGTTTCTGCGCTGGCTTGCTTCCATTTCATCAAGGCGAAGGAGCCCTTCCCTGGGGTGGGCGGGCATTGTCTGTGCCAGCCACAGCTGCCTTGAGAAGCTCCCCTGAGCCCTGGGGAGAGCTGATCAGCCAGAAAGGTCCTCCCCAGGGCTCAGGTCTGCCCAGCCGAGGGGAGGGGCTACAGAGAAATAACTCAGAACCCCCTGCTTACACCCCCCACCACACACACACACACACACACACACACACACACATGCCAGGGCCTGCCTGAAGGGCAGGCCGTCTGTTGGAGGAATTGAGACCCTGGGCATTTCTCTGGGAAAACACTTTAACATTCATGTCTAAGTCCCAAGAATTGCTTAGCAAAAAGATAATAGTGATTTTGCTCCATGTGCCAAAGATTTACGCATGTGGGCATTGATGTGCCTTTCCTACCCTCATATGGCCTGGGGAGGACAGAGGAGGGGTTGTCCTGTGCTGGAACCCAGCAAGCCGAGCTCAGGAAAGGCGAGGGGTGTGACATAGTTAGTTGTAAGGGACCATGATGTATGTTTGCTACCTTCAAATTATTCAGAAAGAAATTGTGTGTGTGCGCGCGCGCGCGCGCGCGTGTGTGTGTGTGTGTGTGTGTGTGTGTGTGTGTGTGTACTGTCAGGAGGCCTTAAGTCGGCCCCATGGAGATGAGAACAGACCCCTTAATTAGGCACCATTCCCAGAGTGAGACAGGGACCAGCCTGAGCCTGGCTGCCCTGGCGTTGCGGGGAGCCGAGCCTGCAGGGCTGGAGGTGGGTAGGAGGGGGAGGCTGCGGGCCGGGGCATCTGAAGGACTCAGCAGGTTTACACTTCGCTGACCCGATGGATGAATGGGGCCCTGTCCACCCACATGGGGGCCTGGAATCTTCAATTATGGCAATTACATCAACAGGTCGGAAGGGCAGCACTTTCCACTGAAGAGGTTCAGGGCTTAAAAGGAAAATCCTAAAGCCACTGGTTTTTTTTGTTGTTGTTTTTTTTTCTTTCTTTCTTTTAAAGGGTTTGGGTTGAAGGAAGAAGACCCCCATCTGCAGTCTAATTGGGCTGTGGGTAGAAAACAAAGATGTGGCACATTTTGGGGATAAAATCTGGCTGGCACATGCTCACTTGCCTCTGGACTTCTGGTTCTCCCCTCAGTTGACTGTACTATAGTTCCTGGTGAGCGTGCATTTCCTTTGTCCTCTTCCTGGGACAGGGTGGGACGTGGTGCCTTCATCTCTGAATCCTCCCAGCACTCAGTGCAGTGGGTGGCAGTCAAGGCAGCACTGAACTGGTGTCAGAAGGGCTGGACTAGACCTTGGAGAGGTCAATTAGTCTCTCTGATTCTCAGTTTCCATGTCTGTAAAATGGGTGTAATGCTCTCTATCCTCCCTCCTTTCTAAGGTTTTGAAGAAGACTGTAGTTCCTGCTGTGTACTCAAGCTAACGGGGTCTTTTCTTTCTCCTAGCAGCCCTGTTAGGGAGGGAAGTCTTGAGGGCGGCCCCTGCACCAGCAGCCTGGGCATCATCTGGAAGCTTGTTAGAAGTGCAGACTCTCAGACCCCAGCCTACAGCGACTGAAGCAGAACCTGCGTTTGACCAAGCTCTCCAGGGAACTCATGTGCACATTAACGTTTGAGAAACACTCCTCTAGACTGAAACTTGCACATAATAAGCATTCGTTAAGTGAACGAATGAGAGTGAGCCTTGTGGCCTTCTTCTCATCTGTAAAATGAGGATAATAATATTTGTTCTTTCCCATATGCAGGATGCTATGGGAAACACAAAGAAATAGTTTATAAAGTTATTTTATCCAGTCACTAATTCATTCGATAAACATTGGCTCAGCAGTTACTATAAAGCAGGTTTGGGGTTTATAAATATGTTCTCTGCTTAGGAACAATTTGAAGTATTCTGAAATCCCTATTTTTAAAAGAACTAAGTACAAAAAAAATGTGGGAAGTGCTGTCAAATAGCTATGTCCACTATAGGGAATGCTGGTGGGCGGGTGGCAGGGGTGGGAGNGAGAGAGAGAGAGAGAGAGAGAGA